CCCTAGTAGCGTCCTTGCTCCTAGTAGCGATGCCCTTTGCTCCTAGTAGCGTCCTTGCTCCTAGTAGCGTGTCATGTTTTCTGCTTGCCATTTGTCGAGTTTGGCGCCAGTCGATGGACCTACAGCGATTGCATGTGGCAGTGGAAGAATCAGCACAGGGACATGACGGCCTGCCAGAGAAGGCAGGTGACTCAAGTGACCACGAAAAAACCGCTACTGTGGGACACTTGACGCTAGTAGGTTGGAGCGCAGGATTCGTAAGGACTGAAAAAGGACTTCAGAAATGAGTCCAGGGACTTGGACGTGAATCCTGAAAGCGTTCTAGTGGAGGAGACTTATAACGTTCGCAAAGGGCTACCGCTCATAAGGACTCATAAGTCCAACTTGAGCGTTTTGTGAGAAAGTGTTTGAAGAGGATAGTCTCTTCAGTTTGGGTGATTTCATTTGGCGATTACTCGGTTTTTGATTACTCTGGTTTTCCGTTTTTCAGTTCCGCTTTTTGCGATCCTGTTTCACTTTTTTCTGTGTGCGGACCGTTCTGTGAAGGATTTGGCGAGTGCTCTCCGCATTTTGGACGAGTTGAAGGCGGTGGTAGCGGTGGGCGCGTTGGTGTTTTTTACAAATTGGCGTGTTGTTTTATGTTCATGTGGTCTTCAAATAAGTAAGGAAGTAAGCTACTAGTACGTGGATGCAGAATAGCTCACGCTTCTTTAAGAAAGCTCCCCCCACCTGAGGGCGTGGAGGAGCTTCCTTGAAGAAGCGCTCGCACTAGTGATTTGGTTCCTAGATGTTTGAGGACACTTATATGCTTATTTGAGCATCTTGGCTAAGTTGAAGGTGGTGGTAGTGGTGGGAAGAAACAATAATTTTTTGTATCACGCGAAGCATGTCCCGTGCACAATTGGACGTTTACCTTCTTTGCAAATTGGTTGAAGATGTCACAGATTTCCTTCTGAGTCCTTCCAACGGCTACCCAGTGGCCTATCCAATGGAACCTTAATGAAGTACGGGTGGGCCAAAAAGACAAAAAGCGACATGGGTGAGGCCATCGCTACTACGAGCAAAGGTCATCGCTACTAGTAGCGTTCTTTGCTAGTAGTAATGCCCTTTGCTCCTAGTAGCGTCCTTGTTACTACTAGTAAGGCACCTGTTACTACTAGCGTGGCACTTGTTCCTAGTAGCGTTCTTGCTCCTAGTGGCCAGCCCCGTTCGTAGCTAGGTTGGAGTCTTAGGGTCTGAAAGCACATGCGACGACACCAACGCTTCAGGCCGGAGAACTGGCACGCCTGGAACGACATCTCAAACAGGCGAGGAAGTGAACTAGTAGCGTCCATGCTCCTAGTAACAAGTGCATCGCTAGTAGTAACAAGTGCCTTACTAGTAGTA